AACTGAGGCCAATAGGAAAAGGGGACCAAGAACTAGAGAAAAGGTGAGATCAAAAAGAATTAACCTAGAAGGTAACACACACGCACAGGAAATTAATGTGAGTCAACTCCCTGTATAGCTATCCTTATCTCAACCAGCAAAAACCCTTGTTCCTTCCTATTATGGCTTATACTCTCTGTACAACAAAATTAGAAATAAGGGCAAAATAGTTTCTGCTGGGTATTGAGGGGGTAGGGGGGAGAGGGAGGGGGCGGAGTGGGTGGTAAGGGAGGGGGTGGGGACAGGGGAGAGAAATGACCCAAGCCTTGTATGCACATATGAATAATAAAAAAAAAGAAATAAATAATTTTACTGCTTTTCCCTCTAGAAAAAATAAATAAAAAAAAATAAAAGTGGATGTCAAAACCTCAAACCTACTAATCAAACCAAGTGCCATTTTTAAATGAGCCCCAATTCCTCTTTGAAACAATCCATCAATTCTACTTCCATCCATTTTACTATCTTCTGTGAGAAGCACATGAGTGACAGAGCAGTGAGATAAAATCCAAGTTCTTACATACTGAATGGGGGGGGGGGAAGATGGCATTGGTTATCTATAATAATTAAAACCATATAGTGTTATGAAGTAAGTGCAGGAAGTACTTTTCAGAGGTGTGTACAGCTGTTCTACAATTCATGGAAGAGAATGGAAGTAAATGGCAATTCATTTAGTCAAGTGAAGAAACAATCAGTCAAATGAAATAGAATACGAAGACTCCCTGAAATGAGGACAGAGACTTTGAAGAACTGAAGGGGATCCAGTGTGGCAAGCACATGATTTAAAGAAGATAATGAAATGCAGATGAAATTGTTGAGCTTTGCTAGGAGGAACCCATGTAAGTTCTTGCTAAGAATGTTGGTTTTTATCTTAATAACAGTGGAATCTTCTGAATATTTTTAGGTAGAGGAAGGAACTCATTTAGGTGACCATGCAGAGTATGGAATAAAGACAGCAGGAAAACTTTGTTTCATTTTAGGTTAGAAAAGATCAGAACTTATATAAGGGAAATGGCAGGAATTGGCATTCCTTTAGACCAGGATGGTGGCAGAGAATCTACATGAGTTCCTGGTACTCAAAAGGAAAACCTAACAAGACATGATTACTTGAATGAAAGGAGACTGAGGTATTGAGGTGACTCCCATAGGGGCAGATGTTGGAAATAGGAACAGTGAAAGGAAGATAAGGTGTTTGGTTGAGTTTGGCATGTGTGGAGTGTCTGTAGACAAAAATCATGAAATTAACTATGGATATGGAGTCTCAACTGCCTTCAATTTGACAACCTCAGCACATTGTTGTATATATGGGTCTAGAGGTCAGGGACAGAACTAGATGGTGACTATCAAGAGATGTTATTTAAAATTTTAGGAGTTGATGATATATTACAGAAATGGAGTAGGAGGTGAGACCTAATCTCAAAGATTTCCACCATTTCAAGATTTTATAGAACAAAATGAGCCAGCAGAAATGTGAAAGATTACTAGCAGAGAATTAAGAAGAAAATCTGGAAGCAAGGGACCCTGAGCTCCACCAGAAAGAAGAAGTGTTTCAAGAAGAAATGTCTAGCTGCTAAAAGACCATAAAATGTGAGGTTGAAAGGGTTCCTGGATTTGACAACATGTCGGCCATTTAACTGGGATGGTGGAAGCAAAGGCAGATATTAAAAGGAAGTGAGGAATGCTCTAGGAGTGAAGAAATGAAGCCAGGTATTGTGGCACATGCCAGTAATCCCAGCTATTAGGGAATTGATGGAAGGAGTATCTTGAGTTCAAGGCCAGCCCAGGTAAACTTGATGAGACCCTATCTCAAAAACAATATAAAAACAAAAGAGCAAGGGATGTGGCATAAGTGATAGACCACTTGCTTAGCAAGCTCAAGACCCTGGTTTCAATCCCTACTACCACAAATAACAACAGCAATAGTAATAATAATAATAATAATAAATGTGAATAAATGGAAAGCAGCATAGTATTACCTGACAGTTAAACAAATGAAGGTCTGCTGAGTATATCATAGGGTTCTTCCCTTGGCTCCTTCTGGTCTTTCTATGTGAAATATTCATTGTTCTGGCTTTCTTGAGTCATTTCCTCATCTTTTAAAGTTCTCCATGGATAAAATCTCTGCTATAAAGACTTTTTTTTTCTTACTAAAGAGTACAGATGGACCTTGCTTATCAATGATTGCATCTTTTGTATTTAGCTTTACGTAAATATACTAACTATATGTATGTGACTATTAATCAAAGCATGGGCTTTGAGATCAGGAAGACTTGCCTTTGAATACCTGGTGAACTACTTACTAACTGTGTGTCCTTGCAAAATATCCTTAATTCTTTATCCTCTGTTCCTCAGTTTTTTTCCACTGATACAATGAGCCAGGGAATGTTAATAAACCTGTATATTTTGCTTGAGTACTAAATTACATATAATGTTTTAACAACTTACTAAAAATGCCTGATATTGCAAGCTATCAGCAATGTCAGCCATTGTGTTCATTGCTGTGAGATTGTTTCTCTGAATAGTTTTCATGTGCCTTAATGTCCCTCCTTCCCATCTGATATACATTTCTATACTACTTACAAAATATCTGCATAAAAATCAGGATACCATAAAGCTGACTTTCATTTTCCAGGATTAATCATGTCTAATGGCCAGATATGGAAGGAGCAAAGAAGGTTTACTGTGACAATGCTAAAGAACTTTGGTTTAGGAAAGAAGAGCTTAGAACAGCGCATTCAGGAGGAGGCCCAGCACCTCGTGGAGGCCATAGAAGAGGAGAAAGGTGAGCATTTTCATGGGCAGTGTAGGAGGTAGTGGCTCATTCATTCACTAATCAGATGCTTATTAAGTGCCTAAGCCCTTGTCCCATTCTCAGTACTGTGCTGGGCACTGAGTATAGAACAGTGAACTTCCTGCCTTAGGAGTGCTAGAACTAATCACACAAGGAAGGGCATTAGTCACAATATTGAATTAACTTTTAATCGTCATTTTTACTTGGCTGGCATTGACTGAGTCCTTGTTTTATGTCAGACACTGTTTAGGGTCTGTGGCCAGAGCCTCTTATGATTCTCTACTAGGTATGTCTTGTGTCATGTAGAGTAGACTACAGATGGGCTGGGATGTAGCTCGGTGGTACAGCGCTTGCCTAGCATGCACGAGGCCCTGGGTTCAATCCCAGCACCAAAAAAAAAAAAAAAGAAAGAAAGAAAAGAAAAGATAGAGTAGACTATAGAAAGTAGAAATAAATCAATGACCTTGTAGCAAACATCCCTTCCATCCCCCACCTCCAGGGAAGCCTTTTGACCCTCACTACAAGATCAACAATGCCGTTTCCAATATCATTAGCTCCATCACCTTTGGGGAGCGCTTTGAGTACCAGGATGATCGGTTTCAGGAGCTGCTGAGGTTACTAGATGAGATCACATGTTTGGAGGCATCATTGGTGTGCCAGGTAAGCATTTTGTCTTCCCATATCTTAGATAAGGATGTTGGGGCTGATTCAGACAGATAGGTTCCTCCTTTCCAATTCTTGGATTTTTTTGAAGCTTAAATAAAACGTCAAATTGAATTTGACACAGTTATGTGAAATCCTTCTGCTGACTTTGGTGTTTTTAATAATATGAAACATTTACTACACACAAAAAAAATTCTAACATTCAGGTAAAGTACCAAATTTCACATGATGTACAGGCATGCCTCTAGACTTGTCCTTCAAAAAAAAACAAGTCTTGTATTGCCTGGGGTCCTCTCCAAGTACCTCCCAATATATCCATCTACCTCTCCTTTAAAGGCATCTTCTGAGTGTACTTTCTAACTATGCAACTTTTGAGATTCATCTGTATCCCTTGCTTTTTAAAATTCAGGCTAGCAGAGCCTTGTGTGACCTTGCACAGTTTGTTAATCTGTTCTCTAGTGTTGGGTGTTTGAGTTGTGTCCAGGTTTTGGATGTTATGAATATAGTTGACATGAATATTCTTATCCAAGTGTTCTTGTGGACATCCACTCATTTGTCTTGCATTATATATGGACATAAAATATCCTTAAAGATTGCAAAATTGGATGCAGTATTTACTTGCCAGTCAACACTTAATACTATTGATCTTCTAATTTCATTAGGTCTAGCACTTTGGGGTTCAATCATTACCCTTCCTTTGGTGGGTCCTATACCCCCAGTGTTTGTCCCTCTAAGCCTTTCAGTCTGCCAAAAACTCTACTCAGCATCTTGGTTTCTCAGCCATTTTCCTGAATTGGGAAGACACTGCTATAGAAGTATTGACCCCAATTGCTAAGATCAGTCCTCTGGGCTTCCTTCTTCCACTAAGCCTGTGCCTAAAGTTACCTTACTATTGTTGTATATGCACATATGAGTTTGCATATACATGTATGAGCTTGCATGTACACATATGTGTATTTTTAATTTTTTTTCTAGTGGTACTGGGCTTTGAATTCAGGGCCCTGCACTTATTAGTCAAACATTTTACCCCTTGTACCATTTCTCTATCCCTTATCCCTTTCTTCTTTTAAGGTTTTTTGTTTTTTGCTTTTTTTTTTTTTTTTTTTAGATAGGATCTCACATTTTTGCCCAGGCCAGCCTTGGACCATAATCCTCCTACCTATTCGTCCTATGAAGCTAGAATTACAGACCTGCACCATACCTAGCTTGTTTGTTGATATGGGAGTCTCAATAACTTTTTTTTTTGGCCTGGTCTGGCTTTGAACTGTGACTCTTCTCTATCTTTGCCTCCTAAGCAGATGGGATTACATGCAGGAGCCACTGCACCTGGCCATATATTCTAAATGTTGGTGTTCTCCATCTGACATTATTTTAAAACTTTTTAATTGCTTTAGTTGGGAAAAAAGCACTTCAATTTGGAAAGTTGCAAACATATATTAAAGTAGAAAATATAGCCATAAGTCACTGTGTGTTCACCAATCAGCTCCAACAGGTATCAACATGGCCAACTTTATTTCACCTGTATCCATGTTGCACTACTGCCTTAGACCCTTGAATTTTGCAGTAAATTGTAGACATCTAATTTGTAATGGTGCTTGCAAGAGGATTTAGTGAGCTAAATTTTCCTACTAAAATGATAGATTTATCTATTGCTTCTTGTGTTTCTGTCAATTTTTGTTTTATGTTCTTTATAACTCCATTGCTAGGTACATACAAACTTAAATTGTTATTTCTTCCTACTGAAATGAAATATTTATAACTACTTAGTAAGTTATTTATGTCTATTATTATTTCCTACCCTAAAGACTGATTTGTCTAATATAAATGTTACTAATCATTTTCCCCCAGTTTTCACCTAGTTAGTTCTTTTCTATCCTTTTACTTTTAAACTCTCTATGACCTTATGTTTTAGATGTTTACATTTTAAACAGAATAATTCTGAATGTAAATTTTGTTACAAATTTGACAATGTTTATCTTTTTATTGAATCATTTGTTTCTTTTTCTTTTATCATAATTGACACTTGAGAATGATGAATGATCATTTTGTAGTTTCTACGGATGTGATTTTTCTCCTTTTTGGACTCATTATTACTATTGTATGTTCTTACTTTACTTTTCCATGTATTTATTTAGAAGATTAACATTCTTTCCTATTATTTTAGTATTTACCTTAAAACTTTTGACATTCATGAATGGCCAACACTAAGATTAATGCATTTATCCTGCCCAAAAATAAAACAAGATCTTTAGAACACCATCTCTGAGCACTCCTTTAGGCTACTATCCTCATGCATTTTAATTTATTCTTTTTAACAGAAAAGCTCATAATTGTGATTATTTTACAGAGTCAATGTCTATAGTCACATATTTACCAGCATCAGTTTTCCTCATCCTGTCTTGTACTTTACAGCCCCCTTCTGAATTTCATTTTAGTGTGAGTTATGTTATGGTAAATTCTTTTGATTGCAGTTATTCAAAAATATTTCTATGTAAGGATTTCCTCTAAGTTAGTCTTGTGCTCTCTTTCTGGAGATAGGCCATGAACAAAAGTAGCCACTTTGCAAATCAGGAGAAGAGTTAGGTTTGGGTACGTTGGTCAGGTATGTTTAGTTGAGACCCACTAAAACTAAACACATGAAATAACAGAAGCATTTCATTACTCACAGATCCACAGGAGGAGAGGTGCCCATGAGGGTCAATGGGCAATCTGGAGATGGCAGGGAGCTCAACCATGAAAGGAAGAGAGTATTATGAGATGAGGCCTTCACTATGGCCACAGGGGTTGTCTCCAGGTGGCAGTTTGGTTAGCTTAAAGGAAACATTCTGAAGGCTTGAAGGGGAAACTATTTGCATGAATCTGGTATTTACCATGAGGTTTTTGTCATGGTCCAAAGCTATAAGATTTAGAGCTTGGGTTTAGAGCTGGTTAAATGGAAATAATTGACCGTATTACAACCAATCACACAGGAAGGAGAGGTTTAACAAGCCAAGGTGATTGGGTACAACTGGGTTTCAGATTACCTATGTCAATTCCAAAAATGGAGGATGTGGCAGCAAGTGTGTTAAGCAAACTTATGGCATTTTTTATGCTCACATTAATTTTTATTATTACTGTCTTTTCCCTATTGCACATTGAAATTGTTTTTCTATCATTCCCTATGTTCACACTTTTTCCAGGGAGAATCAGCTAGAAATATAATTGCTGTTCTTTTTTTTTTTTTTTTTTGACATCGATTTTTTATTTTATGGCAGTACTGGTGTTTGAACTCAGCGCTTCGTATTTGCTAGGCAGGCGCTCTACCACTTGAGTCATTCCTCCACCCCTGTTCTGTGGGTTTTATTTTCTTGTAGTTTGGAGGGTTTTGAGCAAAGGAAGGACTTGATTGCAGTTTTGCTCAAGGAAGATGATCCAGGCAGTGAAGAAAGAAGAGCTTGACAAGCAGAGGATGGGGAGTATTGTTTAAACTGTATTTTATCCATACGCTTTCTGAGGTATTTATATACATATATACCTCATATACATACATATGTATGTACATATATATATGTAGGCCTGTGTTTATTTATATGAATTGCTGGTCTTTCAAAAACACTTTTTTTGTTTTCTCTGCCTGCATTTAAGGCCTCATTGTTTTTTATGATTATTAGCTTTTTTATGATTCACCCAGAAGTAGATTTCTTTTCACTTTTTCTTGAAAGCATCTTTTGCTGGAACTTTATGGACACCATCACACAAAACTGATAAATCAGTTAGCATGTTTTCTGACAAATAGAAATGGCATAAACAATGAGAACTAGGGACTTCCAAGGTAAGATGGTGAATAGGAGTTTCTTCCATGTGACTCCATGAATGAGAAGAGTTAGGGTATTTAAAGATAGATTTTATTTCACTAAGAGAAAGAGGAAAACTATTGTGATCACAAAAGAGGTGACAGGACAACTGAAAATCCATGGAGAAACAGTGAGGTCACCCAGAAAGATGTAGAAAACATTCTGTAGTACTAAGCCAGCACCTAGGGGAGCCACAACCACAAAATCAGCCATACAACCCTGGTAAAAGGCTGACTGTCCTAGCCACAAAACAAGCTGACTTTCTCAAACATCTAAAGTCCAGTGCAAGTATTTGCTGTGACACTAATTCCTCCTATGTGACAGGAAAGCATGAAGAGGAAATCCAATTTGTGGTTCCCCTTATCTTGGAGAGCTATAGCTAGTTGAGAGAGGCACATCTCTGAGACTGAGATATCCCAGGGACCTGAAAGCAGGGAACAGTGGCAAACCAGAGAGCCTGGGGGCATGCCTCAGTGTGTTTAGAGAGGCAGTGATGCAGTAGGGATGGGTAGGACTTGGGATACAAGTCTTGGGCTTCTGGGGACCTTGGGCTATGAAGGGTTGGTGGCTGTACCCTCTGTGGTGAGGAGTGAGTCCCATTGTCTGTGTATCATTCCAAAGACTAAGAGATCCAAACCCAAGCCCATAGAAGATTTCTTGGCTTCTGAAGATGACTCTCTGTTCAGCCCATGTCCAATAGACTGGGCTATTCCCCCAGATGATTTAATGGTAGGCAGAATCCAAAAGCTCTTATTACCTGAAAGCAAAGTCCCAGATTTCCTTTCATCAGTTCTTTCTCTTTAATAGAGATCTCAGGGTTGTAATTGCTCCCCCTACTCTCCTACTTACTTAGGGGAAATGCCTAGTCATGGACATTTGCCTACCCTGGATACACAAACTAAGTGGTCTGCAACAATAGGGAATCTGCCCAGCCCACAGGCTGCAAAACTCCTTGAGGACATCAGTGGCTCTTGTTATGCAAAGAAGTAAATCTTCTAAAGTGACTACATTTCTAATACTGACAAATGACCCTTTACCAGCCCAGCCCTCAATCTATATACAGTACCAGCCTGACACAGTTTTTGCTTTAATGGTAGTTTGTTTACTCCTCTCTAAGTGGTATTAATAATTGAGCCTTCAAGAGAAGACTGCCCACCAAGAAGTTAACCAAATCAAACTGGAAGAGCTGTTCATCATAACAGATGTGCAAATCATAATGTAGACACAGTAAGGCAAATGAAAAAGTAAGGCAATGTGACTCCTCCAAAAGCTTATAACTCTTCAAAACTAAATCCAAAGATATTGAGATGGTTAAAACACCAAGCAATGAATTCAAAAGCAGTTTTAAAAATGATCAATGACCACAAAGAGAATTCAACTAAAGAACTGAATGAAGTAAGGAAGTCAATTCAAGATCTAGATGAGAAAGTCACCAACATGGATGAGAAACTCAGCAAGGATATTGAGATTCTGAAAAAAAAATCAAAGGGAAGTATTAGAAGTGAAAAACTCCATAAGTTCAGTTAAAAAAAAAAACCCAGATCAAGAAGAAAGAATATCGGGGCTTGAAGGCCCAGAAATATGCCCATGCAAGTATAGCCATCTGATTCTTAGAAAAGGTGCCAAAATAATGCATTAATAAAAAAGACAAATGTAGACTGGGTATCCACATGTACATGTGTGAAACTAGATACCTACCTCCCACCTTGTACAAAAATTCAAAATGGGTCAAATACCTTAATATAAGACCAAAACCTTTGAAACTATCAGATGAAAACATAGGGAAAACTCTTGAAGACATAGACATAGGCAAAGATTTTCTGAATAGTACTCTAATGACACAAGAAAGAGCAAGAACTGACAACCAAAATTGCATCAGAATAAAAAAATTCTGTACATCAAAAGACACAATTACCAGAGAAAGGAGACAGTCTACAGAATGGTGTTAAATCTTTACCAGTTGTTTATCTGATAAGGGATTAATATCCTGAATGCATAAAGAGATAAAAAAAATTAAACATCAAAGAACAAATAATCCAGTCAATAAAGGCAAATGAATCAAACAGTTCTCAAAAGAAGAATTACAAATGACCAATAAATACATGAAACTGGGTATCTGCATATAGAAATCTATGTCTTCCACCCTGTGCAAGTACCAACTCAAAGTGGATTAAAGACCTTAATATAAGACCTGAAACTTTGAAGCTAGTGCAGGAAAGAGCAGAGAATACACTGAAACTTATAGGCATAGTCAATAACATCCTAAATAGAACATACAAATGGCTCAGCAACTAAAAGAAAGTATTGATAAATGGAACTACATAAAACTAAAAAGTTTCTGCACAATGAAAGAAATGGTCACCAGATTGAAAAGGCAGCCCACAGAATGGGAGAAAGTCTTTTCCAGCTATATATCTGCCAAGGGATTAATAACCAGAATACTCAGGGAGCTCAAACAGCTAAACTCAAAAAAAATCAGTGACCAAATAAAGAAATGAGTAAATGAATTCAACAGAGCTTTTTCAAAGGAAGAGGTCAAAATGATAAAAAAAAAAAAAAAACACATGAGGAAATGCTCAACATCCCTGGCTGTAAAGGAAATGCAAATCAAAACCACGTTTTGATTTTCTACCTCTCTCCTGTTAGAATGACTATCATCAAGAACACAAACAACAACAAATGTTGGTGAGGATGTGGGGAAAAAGAAGCCCTCATACAATGTTGGTGGGTATGTAAACTAGTACAGCCATACTGTGGAAAACAGTATGAAGGGTCCTCAAAAAAGTAAAACTACAACTGCCATATGATCCAGCAATCACTCCTAAGGATATACCTGAAGGAGTATAAATCAAGTTACCATAAAGACACCTGCACATCCATGTTTATTGCAACATTATTCACAATAGCTATGCTATGGAAACAGCCAAGATGCCCAACAACTGAAGAATGGATTGAGAAAATGTGGTATTTATATAAAAGGGAATTTTATTAAGCCATAAAGAAGAATGACATTTTGTTGTCTTCAGGTAAATGAACAGAACTAGAGAACATCATAGTAAGTGAAGTTAGCCAAGTTCAGAAAGCCAAAGACCTCATGTTTTCTCTTCTATGCAGAATACAAATACAATATAAAAGCAATATTATATATACATAGAAATATATACAGAGCATGTAATCCAAAAGTGGGACTGGTAGAGGAGACCAAGAGAGGAGGAAAAGAAGGAAAGAAAGATAGCAAACAATAATGAAGTACATCACATCTGTATAGGAACAAGACACAACAAAACACATTGAAAACTGTTAAATAGCACAGGCTAGGGGAAAAGAGCAAGGAAATTCAGTGGAGGGTGGTTACATTGACTTAAGCACAGTGCATGTACAGGTATAATACCAAGGCAAAAATCCCACTGACAAATGAGCAGACATCTAAACAATGAAGGACAAGAATGTAAAAAACACGTCATGCCAAGGTGAGGGCACTAGTGGGAGGGGGAGGGTAACTGAAAGAAGTAAAGAAAATGAATATGGTTCATTTCTATGCTTTCTATACAAGAATGATACAGAATTTTTAACCTGTTAAAAATCATCATAAGAAGAGGACTAAAAGAGAAAGGAGAAAAATGGAGGGATGAAACAATATGGAATATAATACATATATACATGGAAATGTCATAACAAAACTCTCTACATAGATATCTTAAACAAACAAAAATGTCTTTTTTTCCAAATCAGGACAGGAAGGTGAAACAGATTCTACCTTGGGGATTGGTACCAGTGGGAGGGGTAGGGTATAAGGAAAAGGTATAGGAGGTTATATGGTAGAAATATTATGTATTCATGTATTAAAATGAAAAAGGACATCTATTGAAACTATTCTAAGAATAGGGAAAGGGGAGATAAAGGAGAATAATGGTGGGATAAATATAACTAAGATTATTATAAGCAATTTTGTAAATGTCACAATATACCCCCAATACAAAAGCAATATGATATAAAAAAAAAAAAAAAGAAAGACAGGGAAAACAGACCTTGTGGGGGGGGTGATACCAGTGGGAAGGAGAAGACATAAGGAAAGGGTAAACAGGAGGGCAAATATGATGGAAATATTATGTACTCATAAATGAAAATGAAACAATGAGACCTACTGAAACTATTCTAAGAAGGGGGATAAATAGAATGATGGGGTGAATCTACCTAAGATACATTGCAAGCACTTTTGTAAATGTAACAATGTACCCCCTATCCAATAACAATATGCTAACACAAAATTTTAAAAATCAATGGCCAACATTGTTAGGCATTGTGTAAATGCAAATCAAAATAACAGTGAGATTCCATCTCACCCCATCAACCCTGGCTTTTATCAAGGAAACACACAGCAACAAATGCTGACAAGGATATGGGGAACAGGAACCCTTCTACACTGTGCCTGCGTATACCAGGCATTCATGAATATCTGCACACACTTACCTCTGTTAATTTTTACAACAATCCTATAAAGATGAAATGAAGCAACATGGTGTGTGCAAGCTAGTGTAGGTATGTACAATCAAATATAGATAATGGTTCACCAGTTCTGTGTTAGTGCTTTGTGTATCTCCTGTCATTCAGTATGCAGAATCACCATGGGAACCCACTGGCAGCTACTTAAGCAGAAGATCAACAAAGTACATAATTACTATCATAACTATTACCAGCCATTAAAACTAGAAAGCAGCAGAGCTAATAATCGTATCCACGCCCATCTCATTTTAAGTCTATTTAATTTTTCACTATTGATATGTTATCAGTTTTACATGAGATTCTAGAAAAGGCTTTTTGAAGACCACCCACTTTATTTCAGTTAAAACACAACAAAAGTTTACCTATAAGGAAATTATATCTTGGTGAGTGATAACAAATTATGTAAGTACCCACATAAATACATATTAATAATAATTTATGTGAGGGAAAAGAAATCTTAACAAGGGACTAGAGAGGGGATGAAAACATGACTGCTACATAAAGAATCACCTGGTAGGACAGCACTGAGGAGATAATTGAATAGTCCTTTTATGAAGCAAAGGACCAGGTTTATAAAGATTTCAGAGGGAAAGTTTTCTAGGCACAATGAATGCCAACTGCAAAGACCTAAAACAGGAATGTCGTCGATGTGATCACAGAGGCCAATGTAACTGGACTGTACAGAGTAGCAGAGATAGAAAGGTGGTGACAGGTCTGCAAGGAACGTCTCAGTAAGGCTTACAGGCATGAAAATGAGTAGAACTTTAGTATAATGGAAAACCATTGAGAATTCAGAGTCAAAGACTGAACCTATGTGGTTGCATTGCTAAATATTCCTCTGGCAGCTTGAAGGAAAAGAGACAGTGATGGAGTTATGAGTGAATCAGGAAAAAACAATGAAATCTATGACATCATCCAGGTAGGTGATGAGGATGGCTGTAACTTGGGGTAGTGAGAAGTCTAAAGCACTATATCTTTTGCATGGAGCTGAGATGTCTGGCAGAGGGTTGAGAAAGAAAAGAGGAGTACAGGAGGAGTACACAGTTGGAGTGTAAGAAAATAAAAGAGATGAAAGGATAAGACTGTCTTTGAAAGTAGACAAGTGGCACCATGTTATCACCATAGTGATTTTGTTTTTCTTAAATAGCTCTATAATGTCTTCCCATGGATAATGAAATTCATTCCTGGACCACACCAAACTCTCTTCAGCAACTGGGAGAAACTGAAATTGTTTGTTTCTCAAATTATTGAACAACACAAGAGAGATTGGAATCCTGACAAAACAAGAGACTTTATAGATGCTTACCTCAAGGAAATGGAAAAGGTGAGAGAAAAAGAGTTTCCTTTGTTTTATTCTTATAGAACAAAGAGTAATGTATCCGTTTCCAGTTGCAGCTACAAGGTACCACAAGTCTAGTGACTTCAAATAGCACAGATTTTTTCTCACAATTCTCCATGAGTCCAAAATCAGATTCACTTTAAAGTGTTGGCCAGACTTGTTCCTTTTGGAAAGCTCTAGGAGGAATGTGTTTCCATGACTTTCCCAACTTCTAGGGATGTATTCCTTGACTTGTGACTGTTTTGTCCATCTTCAGTGACAGGAGTGTAACATCTTTTCTCCTCTCTGTCTCTGTTTTCATCTTTGCATCTCTCTCTTTGACTCTGACACTCTTATAAGGGTAATCCAGGATAATCTTTCTATCTCAAATCATTAAATTAATCACAGTTACAGGATCATTTTGACATATAAGGTAACATGCTCAGGTTCCAAGGATTAGAATGCAAATATGTTTGTAGACCATTATTTAGCCTACCACAGGTGAGTAAAAATAGAGGTAATATTTCAGAAGTACAAGGTAGCATTACCTCAGGATTGTTGAGGTAATTAGAAACAAATGTAAGGATTTAATCGCATTTGGTTTAAGACCCTGTGAATGCCAAAATTATGCCTTTTTCAAATTTTATGCCTTATTCTTATCTGAAGGAACTGTACAGCAAGGGGAAAATTAAGCTCTATTTTTTTATTAGTTGGGTCTGAGGTCAGCTAACTACCCCATCTTTTAGCCCCATTGCAAAACACAAGCAAAGCTGAGTTGGATGCCAGAGTTTGACCTGAAGGTCTCAGTGGGGCTTCCACCTTGAGCTCAGAGGTCCTCTGACTAATGTACAGCACTGGATCAGTGTCATAATCTTTGACTCATTAAATTAGTGGTCCCTCCTCCTGCAGGAGACAAATGGTAGATCTCTCCTGTCTTCTGTCTTAGTTTCTTAATGGCATATTAATAGAAGGACTGTTTTCTCCTCAAAGGAGGAGACTTCATGCCATATAGTATGCAGGTGTAGGACTATTAACATTAAGAGCAATGTTTAGAAACTGAGGCTTCCCAAGGAAGATACTAAAGGTAATGGAGTATGAAAAGGATTAATTGGTGGAAACAGAAGTTTCAACTAGAAAAGATTAATGAGGAGATACAATAGCTGTATATAGAGGAATTATTTATTTATTCTATGGTATCAGCACAATCATTTACTGAGTATTTGCTATGTGCCTTCCGCATCTCACATAATGGATAATGTCATCATAAGGGATGTGTGTTATTCTCATTTTATGAAACTATAGCAGAGAAATGTGAAGTGATTTGCTCTATGTCATGCAGCAAGATGTGCCTGACAGTGACCACCAACTCTGTCTCATTTACAGCCCATTCTCTTCCCACGATATTCATCATTTCTCCAAAATTACAGGCATAAGAAAATAGTTGTCATGATTTTCATCCACCCAAGTGTTTGAAGCTTTCTGTCAGCTTTGGCACTCTGGCTAGAAAGACACTCATGATATTGGTGCTTCCTGAGGAGACCAAAGGGAAAGTCAGTTCTCCTGGAGATTTTTACTAACAAATTCTTGATTGAGAGTGAAGCCCCCCATCTTTTTAACAATCAAAAATGTTCTGAATAAACCAATATACACTGTACTTTCTAGGACACAGACAAGACTACTTCATGTTTTCATGAAGAGAACCTCATCTATAGCACACTGGACCTCTTCTTTGCTGGAACTGAGACAACATCTACAACCCTGCGCTGGGGTCTGCTGTATATGGGTCTCTACCCAGAAGTCCAAGGTGGGTGTGCAGTGAATGTGTCCAGACCAAGAAAGCATGATGCTCCTGAACCATATGGCTTAGATAGAGGCCAGAGAATGGCACAGTATAATGGAAAGGTAGGCAAAATAGTCACGGGGTGATGTGCACTTGGGAATGGGCACATTCTTCACATTTTATGTGAGGATTTTCAGTGAGTCTTTCTGGTACAAATATTACAGAGTCCTTGCTCTCAAGAAGCTCAGAGTGAAGCTCAGAGAAACAGTGAAGTTGATTGACATTGTGATAAGGCTCAGAAAGAGTTATATTCTCACATGAAAATCTAGGTATGCCCTTCTTTCCTTTAGTAGTGTCTTCCCCTTTTCATATCATACTGCTCAAACTCATTCATCTGATATAAAATGCCCTCTGATGTGCTCTCTTTTGCCTGGCAAGATTCAACTTCACCCACCCTGCATAGTGGCTTTGCTCAATAACTCTTGGCACTGTTCTTATTTATGTCTCTAAGTCATGACATCTGCTCTTCCCTCCACGAGAATGTACTATACTGATTTCTTGATAAGGTCATCCCCTAGTTCTTCTAGGGTAGTCTGCTCAAATTCTACCTCCCTACTTTTCCCTTCCTCCAGAAATTATTAGGTAGAGGATCATTAGCACTTTCTTCCTCTGGAGATGCCCTGATGCATCTCCATTGCTGTGTATATCACACATGATTTATATATCTTCTCCCACAGACTGTTGTCCCTACAAGGAGAGTGAACATTCACAACACATGTTTTGTCTGTCAGATTCTAGAATAGTTTGAGCAGGGGGCATGGAAACCATTGTGGTACCATTTTTCAAATTATGGCAAATAGTTTATTAAAGAGGCATAAAATTAATTTAGTGGATCAAGACCAATTGTTTTTGCCCTAAGATAAAAATAAAATAGAGAAGATTAGAGTGCTTCCCATGTACTATTAATAAATATGTTCTTAATACTCCATTTCTTCATATATTAATGCATAATTATATGCTTATATGTTTGCATATTTCTGTATCTGTGGTCATGATGTAAAATGCATTTCTACCTAAGATTTTTTTTAAGTTTAAAAGCTAATGAGTTGGATATAGATTTGCCTTTCTTTGAATAGAGGCACCATAATAGGAATAGATTAAAATACAGAAGTTTACACCCACGTTCATATAATAATGTTCACAGTAGCCAAGAGGTCAAATCAGCCCAAGTGTTCATGTGTTCATGGACCATCAATGGATAATCAAAATGTGGAGTATATATGAAATGGAATACAATTCAGGCCTAAAAAGAATGAAACTCTCATTTATACTACAGCATGGCAATGTTTTGCCATGCATGACAGAAAAAGCAGAAATACTATAGTATTCCACTGAAATGAGTTATCTAGAATAGTCACATTTCACACAAAATATAGCATGATAGTAGCCAGAGATTGGGAAAAGTGGAAATGAGATATTTAACAAACATAGAATTTCAGTTTAGAAGATGAAAAAGTCAACATTGCTTAACTGTTTACTTAAAAATAGTTAAGATGATCCAGGCATGGTGCCAGATACCTATAATTCCAACACTTGGGAGGTTGAGGCAGACAAAAATGAAAGAAAAAGATACATATTAATAAAATTAGAGGCAAAAAGATACCACTGATATCCAGAGGATCATTAGGGAATAATTTGAAAACTTACACTCCAAAAAACTGGAAAATCTGGAAGAATAAGATTAAATTCTAGACACAAATTTCTGCCAAAATTGAACCAATAAGACACAAATAACCTCACCTGATCAGGATTGATAAGCAACAGGATTGAAAGAGTAATTAAAAACCTCCCAACAAAGAAAAACCCAGGAAGAATAACTTCGAATCTCATTCTGTGAAGCCAGTATTACCCTGACATGAACACCAGATAAGGGCATAGAAAATAAGAAAAATATAGGCCAATTTCCTTGAGAAACTTAGATACAAAAATCTTCAATGATACCAGCAAAACAAATTCAACAACACATTAAAAGATCACACAGAATGAGCAAGTTGGTTTCATTCCAGGAATGCAAGGATGGTTTAACATACGCAAACCAATAAATGTAATACAGCATATAACACTCAAGCAAGTACAAGAATCACATCATCACAACAGAAAACCATTTGATGAAATCCAACATTGCATCATGATAGAAGTACTGAAGAAACAGTCACCAAGTGGCTCATGCCTGTCATTGCAAGCCACACAGGAGGCTGAGATTGGGAGGATCACAGTTTGCTCAGTTTTCTCAGGCCAGCCCAGGTAAAAGAGTTTTTGAGACCACATCTCAACAGGAAAAAAAAAAAAAAAAACCTGGGCATGGTGGCACATGCCTGTCATCTCAGCAACAAAAGGAAGTATAGAATAGGAGGCTCACAATCCAGGCTGGCCTGCACAAAAAGTGAGACCTTATCTCCAAAATAATCAGAGCAAAAAGAGCTGAAGGCAATGCTCAAGGAGTGCAGTTCTTACCATGCAAGCTTAAAGCCCTGAGTTATCCCCAGTACCACCAAAAAAGTGAGGGGAGGGAAGCAGTGAAGAAACTAGGAACAGAAGAGACATACATCAACATAGTAAATGCTATATGTGACAGTCCAACGTTAACCTGAATGGGGAAAAACTGAAAGCATGTCCTCTAAAATCAGAGATGAGACAAGGGCTCCACTATCACCATACAGTGCTTGAATTTCAGTCAGAGCAGTAAAGTAAGAGAAATAACTAAAAGGGATATGAAGAAGAAAGGAAGGAGTTAAATTATCCTTATTTGCAGATAATATGGTAATGTACTTTTAAAAACTAAAGTCTTCACTAAAAGATACTTAGCTCTGATGTAAAATTCCAGCAAGCTAAAAGTTAACATACAAAAAAGTAGCCTTTCTAGACACCCCACAGTTCACTAGAGAAGAAGTCAGGAAACCCTTCCCATTCACAACATCTTCAAAAAGAAAAATACCTAGGCATAAACTTAGCCACAGGTGTTAATGACCTCTACAATGATAATGATAAAGCACTGAAGAAAGTAGTTGTAGAGACTAGAAAATGGTCCTATGTTCATGGATCAGGAGCATTAGTATGACACATTAACAAAAGTCAAGTACAAATCCAATACAATCCTCATCAAAATGCCAATGACATTTTTTCACAAAAATAGAAAAAAATTTCTAAAATTCATATGGAAACACAAAAGATCCTGAACAGCCCAGGCACTCCTGAGCATAAAAAGCAATGTTTAATCTATCACAATGCCTGACTTCAAATTATACTACAGAGTCATACTAATAAAACCAGCATGGTACTGGCACAAATATAGTCATGCAAACCAATGGAATAGAATAGAAGATCCTGAAATAAGGCCAAAAATGTATTGTCATTGGAGGATGGCTAGCACTTTCTATATTATTCATTGTTTCCATTGCATCAGTTCAGGTAAATCTCAATATAAGGCAAAGTTATTCCCACTAATCAGAAGAGAAAACTGAGTCTCAAAGGGTTTTAATAGCTTATGCAACAATGTTGTAGAGCAAGAGTTTTCTGTCTATCTTCTCTTACGTATCTCCCTGAGAAATTAGTCCATGAATCTGCTGTGGTCTGGATATTTGTGTCCTCTCAACCAAGTTCAAATGCTAAAATCAAATGTGATTGTACTAAGAGATAGGGACTTTGTAGGGTGATCATGTCCTTAAAAAAGAATTGCCTTGTTCCTTGTAACATGTGAGGACACAGCAAGAAGGTGCCACTGATGAACCAGGCAACATACCTGCTGGTATATTGATCTTGGACTTCCCAGTTTCCAAAACTATGAGAAATAAACTCATGTTCTTTATAAGCCACCCAGTCCATGTCACTTTGTTATAGACTAAGACAAGATCATACTTTGAGCTTAGCCATGTTAATCCTGGCTATTCTATTCCATAGTCTAACTAGATTCAAGGAAAGTTAAAGACTTGACAGTTCTCTAAATAAGCTAATCAGTGGGTTAAGGAGCATTTTCTTTCTTTCCAACCAGATCACTAGTTGAAATACAATGGGTAAGATCTTGCAAAACACTCCTACATCTTTATCCTGAATATATAAAGAGCTCAAAAAATTAAATACCAAATGACCAAATAATCTAATTAGTAAGTGGACAAAGGAATCGACAGAGTTCTCAAGCCAAGCTCAAATGCCAATAAATGCATGAAGAAATGTTTAACATTCTTAGCCATAAAGGAAATGCAAATTAAATAATATTGAGATTCCATCTCACCCCAATCAGGATGGCTATCATCAAGAAAATGAACAATGACAAATGGTGGCAAGGATGTGGGAGAAAAGGAACCCTTATACATTGTTGGAAAGAATGTAAATCTTTGCAGCTAGTATGGAAATTGGTATGAATGTTTCTCAAAAAATTAATAATGGAACTACCACACAATCATGCAATAGCACTTTTGTGCATATGTGTGAAGGAATGTAAGTCAACATACTGTAGAGATAACCTGCACACCCGTGTTATCGCACCACTATTTGCAACAGACAAACTATGGCATCAGCCTAGGTGTCCAACAAACAATAAAGGATAAAGCAAATTACTATTCAGCTCTGAAGAAGAAGGAAGGTATGTCATTTGCAGAAACTTGTATGGAATGAAAGATAATTATGTTGAGTGAGATAAGCCAAGCTCAGAAATATAAAAATCATGTCTTTGCTTATATGTTGAATCTAGACTCAAAAAAAATAATATGACATGATTGTAAAAAGGGACTTTGGGGAGAAACAGTGGAAAGAGAGGGAAAGAAGAGGGTATTGAGAATGAGTATGATCAAAGACCTTTTTAAATGTGTATGAAAAGACCTTAATGAAACCCCCTAAAAACTGTTAAAGGGACGGCAGGAGGGAGGGGGCTAAGAAAGCATAATAGAAAGGGTGGTTTTAATCAAAGTATATTATATGTGTATATGGAAATATAATAAATCCTCTTTGTACAATTAATTTATACTAAACAAATAAAAAATTTTACAGTTTAAAAGTAATAGAACCTCTTCTTCTCTTGCAGAAAAAGTACAGGCTGAAATTGACAGCGTGATTGGCCAGGAGAAGCTGCCGAGCTTAGTGGACCGAGCATCAATGCCCTACATCAATGCTGTGATCCACGAGGTGCTAAGAATGGGCAATATCCTCCCGCTGAGCGTTCCCAGGGAAGTGACAGTGGACACCACTTTGGCTGGATACCACCTGCCAAAGGTAAGTAGGGACTGCCAGGCTTAGATCCTCAAGCCTGTCTCAGGAAATCATCAAAAAGAACCTGAATCCTCTCCATAGGAATCACTTAGATGAGGAAAGTGATACTTTATACCTGATTTAATCTAGTTTTCCTCCATGTTTTTAACTATATGTTATTATTGTGGGCAGCGAAGAAGGGAAATTTCCAATGTCAGATATATTTAGGCAAAGACTGAATTTTTTTTCCACTGTGACTTCTCAGTATTGCTAATCTGCTCCTGTGCATCATGAATCTCAGCAGGCAGCAATTCTCTATCAGACTTTGCCACAGAACTCTTTTCTTTGCCTGGTAGAGCATCTCACAAGATTAGGAAGATATGCCAGGTTTAGTTTAGAAGCTCTACTCCATTATCCTGAATTTATAGAATGTTAAAATGTGCGGGGATGTGTGACACCAGCTGGGTAGATGTCACACTGATGATGATGTTTTTAATTAATGTCTTCACATCTATTTTTCAAGATTTTACTTGTAGCCCCATAATGGGGAACTATCTTCTCAAAAAGAAAGCCACTGCAGTGGCTTTCCAATTAATTATTGGAAATGGAGATACAATAGTAAACACTTATTGAGCATTTTGTGTTGTAGACTATTTGCCTCTTTCAAAATCTTACTCAGTTTTCAGAAAGAATATGACTCCCATCTTATTGACTGGGAAATTGAGGCCCAGGGAAATTAAACTTGCATGAGATCGCTCAACCTTGGACTTGGGATCTAGAACCAGAATTGTCTGTTCCTGCCACAGGACTTTACTTTTAACTTTACAACAGAATCTCCCTTCAATTTTTCTGCATTGGTTCTTGATAAATTGTGTCTCCCTCCTCCTCCCTTTCCATACTGGCAGAGTCTTGTGCTTGCTAGGTGAGTGCTCTACCACTTGAACTACATTCCCAGACTTAAATTTCCTGACTTCACAAAATTCTGATCACAAACACCCACAACTCTTAACATCTCTCAGAGAGCTCTCCTTCGCCCCCTAGCATCCTCTCTGCACATTGCACAATTCCAGCTCCTTCCTTTGCTTTCATCATCTTCATAGCCTCTGTGGATCTAATTTGTGCTTTTCTTTGGGACAGTCTCCAGAGGCAAAACCAGAAGAGCAAACCCACTGGACCCTGATTGGTGACTGTCACGTCAGAGCCAGAAAAGCAGATGCTGCATTTACTGTTTCCTTACTCATTGAGCATTGTATGGGGATGAGGACTGAACTCCCTAGGTGCTCTTTGCATTTTTTTCTAATCATTTGTTTAACTCCAGTGATCCAGTTCAGACTTCTTCCATCACAGACTTTTAGCATCAACTCTTGAAACCATCTTGGACATGAGAAATCTAATTGACTGTATGCAACAGAGGCCAGGAACCATGGCTTTGACATCAAATAGTCATAGTTCCAATGGTGGCTCTACCTCCTCCCTCTGTGTGATTTCTGAGCACATTACTTAACCTCTCACAGCTTCAATTTCTTCACTTGTAAAATGCATTTAAATCCACCTCATAGGATCCATGTGGAAGTGAATTGAGATTACACATGCAGAGCTTCATATTCACAATAGCAGTTGTTATTCTTTGTAAATCCAACCATAGTGCCAGCCTAGACAATGAGGGGAGTGGCCCTGGTAAGTCAGAAGATGAGTCTTTGCATCAGGAGTGATGGGAAGCCTTTTTAGAGTACCAAGTTTGAAGTGTGAATTGGTGAATTGTGTGGTATGACTGTGTCATTCATAGGAAACTCTGTTTGCTATGGGTTTGGAGCAGAAAATATAGGGCATAGTTCAAGGTTAGTACAGGAATCTAGGAGAGGAAAGTGCCTGCACTAAGGTGGTGGTAGAAAGCAGGAATCGAGAAAGATGTAAAGAAGGACCAGCCTTATTGGTGGGTTGAGTGAGATAGATGAAGGAAAAGGCTTTCTCTAGTAACTCTAGAATCTTAACATGTGCCTTCATGGACAGCAGTTCCTTTCCTTGGATACCTGTATCTATAATTAAGCCTGTGGTGGTACCGGGTAAGCACATGAACGTGGAAGGAAGTAGATGCAGAAGTGAAGGAGACGTCCTTTCCCTTTGTAGAGATGCTGTAATCCACACTGCATGAGCAACAGGGCTGACTTTGATAAAGTGTGGACTGACCTACCACATTATTCCATCATGGATTCTCCTTTGTCTCCTCCCAGACCCACACCAACCTGGCCCTGTATAAGGCCATTCTGCGGTAAAGATCTGATCCATTCTGCAGTGAAGAATACTCTAACTTCCCAAGTAAACTCTCAGTAGACACTTCCACTTATCATTCAAAGTCACCCTGCACAAAGGGGAGGGTCTTGTGGATTTGGTCTCGGCAGATGGTGAGGGGTAGGAGGTCAGGATATGAGTAGGCCCTGGCATGGGAGCCTGAGGACCAACACCCTTCTGCATGGGTGAGTTCCATAGGTCAAACTTCTACTTTTCGCTGCCTTCTGTAGGGAACCATGATCCTGACCAATTTGACTGCACTGCACAGAGACCCCAAAGAATGGGCCACCCCAGACACCTTCAATCCAGAGCATTTTTTGGAGAATGGACAATTTAAGAAGAAGGAATCATTTTTGCCTTTCTCAATGGGTGAGTTGTGATGAATAGGAGAGGGAATGTAGAGTTGATCCTTTACCATTCCCTCCTCTTCTCCCTGTAGTCCACTGCTTTACTTAGGATGTCTCCAGATGCCCTTCCCATCTTGCTGTTGGCTACAGCCCAGCACTTCCTGGATCAGGCATTGCTTCAGACCAGTCCTACTTCCCAAGCCATCCCTTGGCTCTTCTGGAGATTTCCTCCCTTTGGTCTCTTTTCCAGAGCACTGGGGACAGAGACCCAAGATACCTGCCATGTTCATAGAGTTTTTAAATTTTCCAATTTCTTTTTAAGGGCTACCTACTCACATAGAAATAGAGGTGACTTTTAATAAGGAGATAAGAAGGAGCTGACTGCATAGTGTTAGGGCTCTAAACACTATTATCTTAATTAGATCGGCTTCTACCATATAAGCACTCCCTGAAGAGGTCTTTTGTCTTTTCTAAATTCCATTACCTTTTTAATGTCTAGTTAATACATAAAATTTGCAACTTCAAAAGCAGAAGAGTAGACATAATGAAAGCTGTTATGTTTCCTAGCCATTCTATATAACCAAGGCTATTCTTGGTTATAGCATTGTAAAATCAGTAACAAAAGATCCTGTATATTGCAGCCATTGAGTTAGATTAAACAGATTACTGTAAATAATTTCCTAATTCCTTAATTCCATAAATATTTACTGAGCATCTATTATGTATTAAACATTTAGCCCTAGGGTCATAGCTGAATAAAATAGAAAGAAAAAGCTGACTTCTTAGAACGTGTATCTCCATGTAACCTTACAAGGAGTAGCTCAGCCACACAAGCTTTATGAGATTACTTCCACATTGGGTTGGCCTCAGTTTCCTTACCTCTAAAGTAGTAAGAGTAATTTGAACCTTTTAAACAGTTTCTTTTCTGTTTGGGGGAATGAACCAGATCAAGTAACTATGAGGTAGATTGCTTATTATCGTTTGTATATTATTTTTAAAAGGTTTTTTTGCATAAATTTTCATATTATTTGGTTTATTCAGATTCAGTGTATAGCCCAAACATAAACTAACTTTGCCTGTAAACAAGAACACATTTTCATAATGCCAAGAAATGTTGCTTAACTTGCTCAACCACATGTGTAGAAAGGGGAGTGGCTGAACAGACTCTCTGTCATCTACATCAGGTTTCCATACATGACAGAGTGGGATGTGGCCAGGGCAGTGTGGAATGTGAGCTGTAGAGGAAGATCCAGCTCTCATTGGAAACCAAGGCCTTGTTGAGGAAAGACCACTCAAGGAGGGAGGCCTAAGCAGTTCCAAAATAGAGGGAAAATCCTATCACTGAGGTCCCCAAGATAAAGGAGGACAATGTATAACCAGAACCCTGGGCTAGAGGACTGACTCTGGGAGTTCTCAAAAAATCATTTTTAGCCACTCACCTCTTAAATACAAAAGAAAATAAAACATGTAAGAAAGGCACAGAATATAATATTCCATAGGATATTATGGGAAGGCAAGGGAGCTCAGGCATCTCATTGAGTTTTTGGCCATACTGAAATGAACTCCAAGATTATTTAGGGAACAGAAGAAGTGTGCAGGGTCACCTACTTGGTCAGATTGCTATCTGGTGGATCATTATTTCAGTTATGGTCACACACAGTCTTTTTGGCGTGAAGTAAATTCTCACTGTTTGGAGGTGTGGACAATCCCCCTTGGTGCTGAGGACATTCCTACTGCTCAGGGAGGCAATCAGAGCAATGAGCATTTGCTGTGCAGAACATTTGTCCATCACTGCTGTGACTCTGAAATGGGTGAGTTTGGTTCCCATGAGATCCTGCAATGAACAGTGTCATCATGGGATGATCTGCCTACCAGACTCTGCTGATCTAGAAGTTGTTCCTGGCAATGACTGAAGACTTCTAGGTGCCACTCCAGAGGTCTGCAAGAGGATGTGGGCAGTTGGTAATTTGTTGGAAATACCCTAAATACTCTTATCATGATGTCTTCAGCCTTGAAGGGGCAGGCTTATCAGGTGTGGTTGGGCACTCCTTAAATGATTGACATGCCTACGTGCAGAGTTGAATAGGAATCTGACCCAAAGTTTAAGGCAAAGGAGACAGACAGGAAATGAAGGCAGAGATCTCAAGCTTTATCCTGTTTTTAAATAGCCATCAGGCACCTGCAGATCCAAGTGAAGGTTCAGTGCTTTTGCAAAAACATACTCTAAGTACCTGTTATAAATGGTTATAGGAAAAAGATGACTGCTCTTACACTTACTTGTTTATATTATGGAGTTTCCTTTTCAGGACTGATAAATATTACACAGTTTCATTGCTGCTTTGCTGTTTGCTATTGTCATTTTTGTTTGTTACAAGTGGTTTGAACATTTTTAGGCTAGACACTCACTCTCTCAGTTAGCCCTGGGCTCCCATTGTCTCTGTCCTACACCCTGCATCTTCCTCCAGAACCCCTTCACCTGGCAAGGCATTTGACTTTGTAATCCTGCACTTCTGTCTTCTGTGCTGTGGTGAGGCCAGGCCAAAGCCAGCCTTGGGTTTTGCAGGAGGTAGTTGAGGATACCAAACCAGAAGGCACTAGTGCCAATTGTGAAGGTAATTCCTCTTCTGTTTTTGTCTTTCAGGAAAGCGAGCTTGCCTAGGAGAACAATTAGCAAAGTCTGAGCTATTTATTTTCTTCACTTACCTTTTGCAAAAATTCACCTTCAAACCCCTAAAGAATGAGAAGCTGAGCCTGAGGTTCAGAGTGGGCCTCACCATTTCCCCAGACACCTACCACATATGTGCTGTACCTAGGGCATGATGTTGTTGGAGAAGGAAATGAGAAGAAGAGCAAGAAAGAATGGCATGTGCTCTGAAGTTGCTGATTTCTGCTCAGATGTGAAAGAATTGAAGAAAGATGACTTTGAAGAAACATGAGAAGAATTGAACCAAGAAGATATTGAATCTAAATCCCAGCTCTGCATTTGCCTTCAAATTGGCCCTGTGCAAACCCTTCAGAGTCTTTGTTTGCTAATCTGTTATTTTGAATTGCAAGTGTCACCCAAAAATCCCCAAGGAAAATAAGAGATGTAAGAGGAGACAGACTAAAAACATGTGAAATGCTGTGAGCAATGTTTCTGCTGTTTGGGGTTTGAAAAACTAAGGAAGTTTATTCAAATTGATTAATAAAAATACATGTTATTATGGTAAATTAGAATTTACACTATATTTTCATATCTATCAACTTATAATTGGTATAATCATTAATAACAATTTTATTGAGGGCTTACTGGTATGCCAAATTTTGCTAAATGCTTTAAGTGTATTAACTCATTTAATGATAAAATCTCCATGCCAACATTTTAAAATTTAATTTTCTTTTTATTATCATATTATTGTTGTACTGGGGATATATTGTGACATTTACAATATGCTTACAATATATCTTAGTTAAATTCACCCCCTCCATCATTCTCCCTTATCACCTCATCCCCCTTCTTACAATAGTTTCAATAAGTCTTATTTTTCCATTTTCATGCCAATATTTTCTAAATGCTATATCCCTTTTGCTCTCCCTTTTTCTGTCTCTTTTTTTACTGCTGAATATGGCCCATTAAACCAATTTTCTACTAACAGATTCATTAAAAATCCCAATCTAAGGCAATATGCTTAATTAAAGAGATGTATAGTGTTTGGAAAATGCTTTTATAAAAAAAAACAAATTGGCCCTGTGCATATCATTTATCTGCTTAATGATTTATCTTTTCCTTTGAGAGGTGAAGAGAGAATAATTCCTTGCTTAAAGATAGTTCTTGTGATAATCAAGGGATATATTGAATTTAAAATTGTTTGTGAACCATAGCACATCATAAAAGATAAGCTATAATGGGCCTCCTTCTTATTTTTGCTTCTGGCCTGTTGAGGCATCTCAGATCAGAGTGGTGCAAAATAGTCAATAAGAGTTAGCATTGCTAGCACTGTGAGCACTTTATCCTGTGTCTGCATGGATGCTCCTCTGGAAAGTGAGAGGGAAGCAAAGATCCCTATTCCCAGGCACGTATTAAGCAATTTCCAGCATTTATGTAATAAACACCAACTTGGCCTTGGACTCAGGGCCAGGTAGGATTTGAACACAGGTAAGCAAAGCTGGGGAGCAGGTTTGGAGAGCAAATGAAAAGATCTTCTATCTTTAGACCACCTCCTGCCTTAATTCCTCCATCAGGCACTTATTCCCACAGCATTTCACATTGGGTACCAGAACTTCAGAAATGACAGCATCCTGCTCACTGAGGGGAGATACTGGCTATAAAATGGGGAGCATGGCTGGCTGTGCAATTTTGACTCCAACTCAAATGCAAACAAAAGAACCTGTTAAAGTAAAATAAGCCACATCAAAAGATTTTTCTTTCCTGACTTGGTTACATTTAACAAGGAGGCCAGGGGTCTTTTTCTTTCCTGTTGCTTGGGTTTCATAGAAAAGTACGATCAACCAAATACCCTGAGAAAAGGAAACAGAAGAGTATAGAGGAAGAATGTTTGGCTAGGGCTAACCTAAATTGGATATGAAAATCAAGGACAGCATATCTGGAAGAAATGGTTGGATTTTTAATATGAGTAGGAAAGCTTGGTCTCTCTGACTGATAAAAAGAAGAATGGAAATGAAAGTCCAGCTGTGCTGACTTCCTTCTTACTCACTAGAGGATAAATCTTTAGAAAACAGGGCAATCGATAGTCCAGTATAAAACCATCAAGTCAGGCTTTGAAGTTCCTCAACAATCAGGGACACTGTCTTCTATTTCTTTTCCTTCTTCTGTCCCCCAATCATATAACTCAAGGAGGAGTTCCACAGGAAACTGGTTAAAGTCATTACATTATATGTTTTAGTTTCCTTCTCTGTAAAATGATAGACTTTGTTGGAGTCCTCTCATATTTCATTCCTGCTCTGCTGTACACTTGCCATGATTCTAGATGGGCAGCCACACACCCATTACTGTGTTATAAGTAACCACAGGGTGCTATCTGAACCTCAAGGATGCAATGGGACTGTTGAGTGAACTGTGCCATTGACATAGACAGACATGCTTATATCTCTCCACAATGTCAGAATTTATGAAAGTCAATAGATTCACAAGATACATCAATTTTATTGACTTTACTTCACCAAGTATTTTGGTTTCACTTGGAGCAAAAACTTACCTTCAAACCCGCAAAGAATGAGTATGAATTTAAAATCAGATTGGAGATGGAGGGAATTAGAGCAGAGAAGGTATCAGGGCACGTACAATGCCCTGAATCTTAAGGAAGTGTTCCCTGCACTGGGGGAAGGTACAAGGCAGTGGTCACCCCCAGTTCTCTACTATTCATAAATAAGAGGCAGGGGCTGGCCAAGTATCTAAGTTCCAAGAACAGGTCCTGGGTGAAGAAGCTGCTCTATTAGAACAGGGAGCTCCTGAGCTCTACCTCTGGTGTCCTTGTGCTCAAGCAAGACTACTGAGCCAGCATCTGTGCTAAGGCACCCAAAGGGAAAGATAGGGAACATTAGGCATGAGTGTCCAGGACATCAGGGTTGGTCACCCTTCAACCAAGCATGTATATCCAGCAAGACATATACCTGCAACCGTGCTAATTTTTCTCCTCTAAAAGAGAAAAATTGATAAGGATAAAATTCAAAAATGTGAAATCCTGTCTGTGTCACACATGAATAGCATGGAACTCAGTAAGATGGAAGGCAAAAGTACTTTATTCCCACCCCACCTTACTCCAGACATTTTGCGGGCTACATCTTTCTTGCTTGGATTACATTGTCTTCCTCTAAAGACTATTAGTTGCCAGGCACCAGTGGCTTACATTTGTAATCCATACTGCTTGAGAGGCAGAGATTAGGAGGATACAGTTTAAAGCCAGTCCAGACAAATAGTTCAAGAGACCCTATTTCAAAAATACCCAACACAAAATAGACCTGGTAGAATGGCTTAAGTAGTAGAGTGCCCTGACTTCAACCCTAGTGCCACCAAAACTACTATTAGATTTTGTGCTGATAGGCAGTTAATTTACTCGTAGAATAGCTGGATTTTTTTGTGACTTTGCTTTAAAGCTTTGTTAGAGTCGGTATAGAGTAGCCTTCATTCTAGGGTTCCCCACAGTGAACTTTCAGGGGCTCTACTAGGCCATATTGAGGTATTCAATATGGTCTTTCCACTCTATTCAACATTCAAATAATTCCAGCCAGAAAATGTATGGCAGTTGTTAAAGTTGGTAAGTTGTTATAGGGTTCTAGTAGTTATTTTTTTCCCTCCAGCCTGGTGGCGTCTTATGCTGCTTGCCAAGTTTAGTACTGAGCTGTTCTTTCTGAAGATTTATGTAGTTCTTTCTTGGCATAGCTTCCTCTCTTCTCTCCCTGACAAATTCCAGCCATGTCTGTTACTCCTAACCACAAACTATATTTTCTCATCTTATCAATGCTACTGTGTTCTCATTGTTTTCCCTCCATTTTGTGATGGGGCACAATAAGCACTTCTAGAAGAAAGCAGAGTTCATTGTTCTTTTCTCAGGGAATCACAGTCCTGTAGTTGTACTTTTTCAATATCTGAAAACTTGTATTTACTTTGTCTGTTTTTCTGGTAGTTTTTGGTGGAAGTACCAGTCCAGTACTTCCTAGTCAGTCATAGCATAAGGAAAAAAAAAGTGTTTCATCACACTGCAGTATTTTTTATGGAACTTAACACTGGCTAAGAGTAGTTCTGTTCCTTGTATCTATACCCCTCCCAATGACTTCACAAGTCCTCCCTTCAAGAAAAAGAATCTTTTTACAACTTCCTTCACTGTCCTCTGGCCCAGTGGTCTGTTTTGATCAATAGAATGTAATGAAATGACTTTTCTGAGCCTAGGAATCAAAAGACTTTGAGTGTTTCTGCTTGGAAATTCTTTTGGAACTCTTGAAACAGACCTGTTACACTGCTGGATAATGAAAAATATGTGGCCCTGTCATTACTGTTACATTGCTCTGACATCTGGCTAGCCACCACAGCTACTTGAGATGAGTTGGTTCCAGGCGAATCCAGAAGCTGAATGCACATGTATGAGTGAGCCTAGCAGAGAGAGATGAACCAGACTACATTTTCAATCTGAGATTAGTGTGTTAAATAAGTGGGTGCTGTGTTAAGCTCATAAGTTTTGGGGTGAGTTGTTACACAGGAAGTTAACAGACACATCTTAAGGGCAAGAACAGTATCTCTTTTTCAGTTCGGTGTCCACACTACCAAGCACAATGCCTAAAACATAATAGGTCTCAATACATAGTGAACAAAATAATGAACAAAATAGGTAAAATAATTGTGGGCTGCTGCTAGATTGGACCCACTGTCACAAATGAGATCTCTGCCACTACTTCGTCTTTGTCATCTCGCTCTTATAATGCATTACCCAGGTCTGGTGCTAATTTCAATTGTTCAGGAACACAATGGAGGAGCACAGGCTTGTGCTCACCTCAGTGTTTCTGTTCCAGTTCCTAGCTGGCTTTCTACAACGGACCCACCTATCCCATTTCCCCAGATTTGTTTCTCAAGAACAGGCAAATGACCTAAATGGTTATTTGGTACTTTCTGAGTCACACTTTGTGTTTGTGCATCTGCCATGAACTATTTATTCTGCACTAGAGAACGAAGAACTTTTCCTTCTTCTTTTGAAATAGATAAAAAATTAAACTAAGCAAGAAGAAAGGGCCAAATGCTAAAGGTCCCTTTCCGGAGCTAAATGGCACTAAACCACTGAGGATGTCTATAATAGCTATTAGGGTTAGAACAGAGAATTCTCTTTGCCCAAATACATCAAAAATACAAAAATACCTCAGGGCTCTCATGCACAAAAAAATACATTGAAAGACTGCAGGGGGTGCCCTGGGGAGTCAGATGAACTGGAGATTAGAGTTCTGAGACTAAACTAGACTGAATTCAATTCTCAGTTTCATTTATTACCTTCTTGTGAGTTAAACAGG